GTCATGGTACTTCTGCTGCGTCTTTCCCTTAGGCTCTCATAGCGGTCAGTCCTTGTCTGATCGACTGGTTGTCATTGCTCCTTGGTTCTGCCTGTCAGGTCCGCCTAGTAGTGTTGGTGTCGTAACACCTATTTTAATCTTTCCTTACTAATTTAAGAATAGCTTGCTTAGTAGCTTTAGTAATCTCCTTTAGATAGTCTATACACTTCTTATCTTCTATATATTCAGGTAAGATACATGGATTAACCTATAGATTATAGCTATAATCCCTAGCTTTTTTAACCCAGTATTAAATAGTTAATTAAGGTAGCTAAAGGGTTACCTCTACAGCCTTTATATTAACACTAATAGATATTAAAGTAAGGGCTTGAACACATAGGCTAATTAGGTGAAAACCATGCATCTTAGGCTTCTGTTTTAATGCTTTAGGGGGTAGGCAGGCAGGCAGGCAGTCACACTGATCTAAGGGTGAATCCATTTTTAAGCTGAAAAGGGGAAGAAAAGGGGTTCTGAATAGCTTTAAATTGCTTTTTCTAGTATAAGTAAAAGTAGAAAAAATAGATGAAATTAGAAGAACTAGTTGTTATGGTGGCTTAATAGCTCTCCCTAGTAATTTTAGTGTATGAGCTATACAGGAGGTGTAATGCCAAGTTTACTAGCGTAACAAAGACTTTTGCACCACACCTCCATACAACTGCTTACCTGCCTGTACCGTAAAGATGAAGGTGAAATTGTAATACTACCATGGATTTATCCGTAAGCTGAGGTACCTTAATCATTGCCGAAAATTGATACTGTTACATACGTAAGGTAAGTACTCCGTCCTATCAGGGCAGCTTCCATTACCATACTGATTACTCCGTAACTCCGTAACTCCGCCATATTTATAAGTAATCTGCATAAATGCACCGCACGATGATAATTGCAAGACAGACAGTCAACGGGAAAAGTCCGAGTCCGATTCATCTTCGCGATCTCCAGACAATAATGACATCGTACCTTGGTATTCCGTCCTGGTTAATAAGGTTTTGCGATGGAGAGGAAGATCTCATTGGAGTGGAGGTACCTCAATTCTGATGGCTTGATGATGACGAGTTGTCTCACTTGCGAAATGAGCTCACATTATTCATTCTGTCGAGACTCTCAATACTGTGAATAGCTGAATGTCCGGAAGTCTTCAATGACAACCCTCTCTTCCGGCCTTCCTCTGAGGTAAAATAAATTTCAACCTCAACGGAACACAGCCGTCGTGTGGCTGCATGGAAGGATTCCGCTATGCCGAACCAAGCGACCCCAAAAAAGGTATCATGGACAAGACTGTAAGACAAGATCCGAGAAAAGGATTGTAATGACGACCAGATATGTGGTCAGGTACTGCCGTGAACAGAGAGGAGGAAATACAGACCTCCACACTGATGAAAACCTGCATCTGTTGGTGCGATTACAGTCACCTGATGGGAAAGGGTTTGCTGCTTTGCATTGACTTGCAACCTCACTCTTGATCTTCTCCATCATTACGGAGTTTGGAGTACGCCCTTAGAAGACCTTTCCGGGGCGATGGCGAGACATTGACTCGAACCGGATCGAGCTGTGTAACGAACGCTCTGCTTCATCTCAGGATGTGTCAACAACAATAGCTATTATTGTTCGATGGCTTATTATATTTTGCTCTGAATATCCCATCGATCTGGTTTCAGATCTCATCCACCTCACATCTTACAGCCAACTCTCATAGCGAAGTTCCGATGCACAAATGACGATTCCAGTAGCTCTTTTCTCCAAGTCTACAGAGTGAAGATCCTGCGCATACCTCTCAGAAGCTATTCCCTGTCACAAAGTTCATCCGCAACTGCAGCTAACAATCTGGAAAGCATGGGTAAGGCTTCGGTTCCGCGCAGACCGCTTCTTATTCCTACTGTTATCTCAGTAATACTGCACATTCAACCTGGAAGCAGTCTCCGATGATACGATCATGGACATATTATCGATGCCCATTAAGCGCTCCTGTGGATTGCTTGATCGCAATGAGGCGAAATCCCCCCACATCCGAACGCTTTACCATCTAGACCTCTGATCAATTGTACCAATGAGAAATATTGCTCTGATATAATTTCCTGTCATTCCGTAACTACCGGGGATCACTCCGTAAGCCTGGACACAAGGAAGCGGTGCCTGACATTCATGGCGTCATTTGAAGGCCTAAATGCCTGACTGCCTGAGGGTTGAGGTTTGAGTCCTAAGGCGCAAGTAGGGCACGAACGTAGGGCATGTGTCCTGTCTTGCACAGATGCAACCTTGTCCTTGGCCGGATTGATAGCTGCTCGGATTTCTCACGGCACTCTGGGCCGAAAATGAACAGGGACTTTGTAACTTATCCCTGAAGATTAAATCTAACGGATTCGGGCTTCGTCAGAGGATATCTATGCTCTCACTTCGTCATGCTCGGTTAGTGTTCGCGTTAATATGCCTTTTCCTGGGCGTATACGTCCCCTCGCTATCGCAGGCACCGCTTACACTCGTGATACTCCAACCAAGCACACGAGCCTAACAGGCTAATTCTTGACAATGTCGGCGTCGCAACCAGACTCCCTCGCCGGGCGAAGCGATCACGAACACAATATAAACTGGTGGGTCCTTCATGAACACAGAGCACGCAAGTTATTTCGTACTGCAAAAGAGTATGCAGCGCTCTGATAGGGCGAGTTTCGTCAAATCCAGACTCTGTGCCCGGATCTTCAACTGTGGTGGGGAGAGTAAGATGTGAAAAATCCATGGAAGCCTCGACCCTTGCAGTCCTTCGCGCTGATATTGCGTTACTGCGCATGAGCCACAAGCGAGACCTACCTGGTCTTGCGGGCGATTTGCGCCTACCGAGGTGGTCTTTCATGGCTGAACCGTTGACGCCTCGTGCGCGGAGATTGAGTTCGGATGAGGACGCAAGGAGTACAGGTGATTCGCCATCGAGTCATTTATCTTACTTTCAGGCTAGGACTGGACAGACCTTACAGCAAATGCATGAACGCTAGATATGAAGGGAAGGAGAAAAAATTCGGCAGGCTACTATATAGTAGGTTTGGAGTACATGCTGCTGAACCAAAAATAAGATCCCGACTTTGAAACTTTTTGATTTCAGACGCCCATCATAACCTCTGTCGACCTCACCCTGAGCACCACAGGGTAGCAGTGCGATCATTCTAGCTCATGAATCAGTAGATTATCTCCAACGAGTAATCGTCCGAAATTAAGTCGCAGCTGGCAGCATGCTGCCCGTGCGCGGATCATCTAGTCCGTTCCCATCACACGCCCATGGCGTCTCGCGGAGCTATGTCACACGAAGGGCGGTCCTTTTGTCATTGGCAAAGGATCTTAGCGCAGCATCACTAACACAGACCTTCCAAAGCTCTCGTGCGCGATTCGCCAAAGCTGTTCCTGCTATGGGGCGGACTCTCGGATTTCAAGTTCATTGAGATTACTTAGCGCTTGATAATCGTGACTATATCGACTCGTTAGCTCAGGCGGCACGAAGCATAGCGGAGAGCACAGGGATAGCATACCAATATCCTCATCTGCTAATTCATGCGAGAGACCAACTCGCTGCGGCTGGTGTTTGACGGAGCGACCATAGACAATGGCAACCTTGAACTGTTCCCTGATCGATCGGTGAATGGCGTTACACTACAAACTCATCAGTAATGGTCTCCCAGTATCTCGTAAAGGTGTGGTGGAATCATACAAAGTCTTCGACTGTGCATGCGTTTGATCTCAAGACAACAGGAGCTGTGTAATCAGGAGCCCTTCCCTTGGGCTTCGTGTAAACTCGTCTGAGATTGAGCTTCTCCCACATTTGTTCCAGAAGCTCATCGATGTTCCAGCCATGCTCGGAACTGATGGGAACGGCGTTGGGGATCCGGTACAGAAGATCCAGCTCCTCAATTGAAATGGAGTCAATCTTGTTCAGGGCATAGATGACTGGGATATAACTTCGGCTCTTGGCCTCAAGGACATCAATCAGATCGTCAATCGTGGCATCACATCTGATAGAAATATCCGCAGAAGAAATCTTATATTCATTCATGACAGCTTTGATCTCCTGTTCGATGAAGGTTAACTTCGAACCTGAAAAGAGCCACATATCAGGAGAACATACATCTTGGTCAATATGTGTTAGGGGGACAGTGCTAGTGATGGCAAGACCACCCTTGTCCTTCTTCTTGAAAACGATGTTGGGTGGTTGTTTGTTGATTCTGATACCGAACCCCTCCAATTCGTTCTCGATGATCTTTTTGTCGAGCAGCGGCTTGTTGACATCAAGGACGATGAAAATCAGATGGCAAGTCTTGGCCACTGCGATGACCTGACGACCACGACCTTTACCATCCTTGGCACCCTGAATGATACCGGGGAGATCGAGAATCTGAATCTTCGCACCGTTGTACAAGACCTGGCCGGGAACGGTTGTCAAGGTTGTGAACTCGTATGCCGCGGCTGCGAATCCAGAGATCAGTTTCTGTCCAGCGACACGCGATCAATCAAAACCTACCCTCGGAATGTTGGCCAGTCAATTTGCTCATTAATGTACTCTTGCCGACGGAGGGGAAGCCGATGAAACCACTACTCCTAGTAAGCATATTGTCGTACTCAAAGATCCGTTCAGTCGATACATACACACTGGCGACACCGGTACGAGCCACATCGAAACCAACTGGACCTCTGCGTTAGCCTCCCATAAGAGATGAGCGCAACCTCTGCACTTACCGCCACCTCCACCGCCGCCGCCGGATGGAGTCAAAAGCTCTCGTTTTAGTTTTGCAAGCTTCGCTTTGAGTTGACCTTCACAAGCCGTCAGCTGTCCACTTCAAGATACATAAAAAAGCCATCTCTGTCCAGCGCATACCCAAGTGAAATGCCGTCGCCTTGTTCTTTTGAGTCCGAGCCATCTGAACATTCGGTCAGTTTCGAAGCACTTGCGACCATTCAACGTGGAGATTGCTGCACGAACCTCATCCTCGATTTGTTTGATCTGCAGTCATAATACCAATTAGCATGATCAGCCTCATCAAGATCAGACATATGTGATAACTATACCTTCTCCACGGTTGTCGACATTTTGACGGTTTGGTACGAGCACTACCCTCGTACTAGGCGCAATCTATAAGAACGAAGAAGATTGGTAAAAAATAAGAAGGAAGAATCCCGTGAGGCTTCTCCGATGTCTCGCTCGCTGAAAAGCAGTCTAAGCCCGAGACAAATCGTAAGCACGTCAATCGTGAAAGTGTTTTTGCGGAGAGATCAATCTTTGAAATTGTGGCCGCCACTTCATTTGTCGCTCAATCAAGGCGGTCTCACATGGCGGGGTTGAGGCCTCAGGCCAAAATCAGGCATCGACGTCTTTCTGTGGCGAGTTCTCTTTCCGCATTGGGAATGTTGTGTAGCAGACAAAAATCACCATGACTGGTCGAAAATGGTCCTATGTTCCATTCGTATGAGATGATATGAATTGGCATTGCGTTGCTATACTCGTCAAAAACCTATAATTACCCATTATTAATGACCTGATCATTATCCTCACCTTTCATGCTGAATCTCTCTGCTCCGAACTCGCTACGACTAAGGTACTATTGATCCGACTTTTATACTTCGAATCACAACCCAGCTTCTACTTCTTACTTGCACATTGCAAGTGATCCTCACAACAATGCCATATCTCGACTCCACAACATCATTAACACCTTCGCAAAATAAGTACCCTGATAATGCATTCGAGAAACTCGTCCTCGACCTCAGCGCAGCGTTGGGTCCGAGCTCGGGCCTGGATTCGGACGATGTCAATCCCCTCGACATCCAGCGCCTGATGGAGCAATATGTCTCCAACCCGGAGGAATGGCGCCCTTTTGCCCTGGGAGATAACAGCAGGGGATATACAAGGAATCTCATCGATGAGGGAAACGGTAAAAGTAATTTGGTAGGTCAGACGTCGATCCCCTTCGGTGCTGTAAGCTTCAGCGGCGCTGTGATGATATGCCCGTACCTGCATGTGGCCGAGACCAGATCATATGTACCTCGCCACCGTGAGACACGGGTCGCGTGCTAATAATGTACTCCGATAGTTGATTTTGGTCTGGAGCCCAGGCAAAGGGAGCGCAATACATGATCATGCCAATGCACATTGTGTCATGAAGGTACCGTTCATCTAGCTTTGAACGCTACTCCCACATATCCTCATCGGGGCAAAACTACTGAACTAACAACGCCCTAGATCCTCAAAGGCTCTCTCCAAGAGACCCTATATACATGGCCCGATCAAGATAAACTCCAAAACGGGCAGTCCTCCTCGCCGCAAATCATCAAGGAAACCACCTACACTGAAAACCAGGTAACCTACATGTCTGACAAGGTCTGTAACCGCTACTCCCCTAACTCATATCGTAACTCGAAACTGACAATTTGTCAAGCTGGGCCTTCATAAGATATCGAACCCAGACCCTCATAACCCCGCCGTCTCTTTACACCGTATGTATCTCACATTGACCTCATGCATGTGTCTGCTTCGCTGTGCGCTACGAGTCCCAAGCTAACCATACGAACTCGACAGTTTACACCCCGCCAAATGCAGCAACGTATGGGTTCTGCGTGTTCGACGAGAAGACTGGGAAAGCAAGCCGCGTGAAGCAGTCCCATTTCTACTCTATCAGAGGAGAACGGTGCTAGTCTAGCTTTGCTTTCCGGGCTGCATGGAGAGTTGGCCGCTTTCTGTCTGCTGTTTCTATCATGTTGAGCTAGTTGCTCAGCACGTACAAGATACCTTTGCATTTGTCTTCTCTGCATGAGACGTGACTCGAGTGTGCTATCCAGGATGTCAGTATTAGCTTTACGTCCATTTTTTTTTCTGGCCAATGAATTTCTGATGGGATTTGCATGAAGCAGAAATGACTTCTCACTTTTCCCTTTTCCTATTCCTGCTTAGAATTGAGTGTAGGACCCACAAGAGTTCGCAATAAACAATCCCAGACGCAATTGCATCAACAACTGTTTGAACATCTGCCAAAAAAGATATTCGCTCCTCATGCATGGCTCAACTAAATCCCCGGAAAGTAAATGCACATGCTTGAGACGTACTGTACAGTCATGCAATGATATGCGAGATAGTGGATGAACCTGAAACGAAAAAACGCCAGCGGCAGCATTCAGAGACCAGTGCATTATAACATACCACAAAAAAAAAAAGAGAAGAGAGAGAGAAGAGGGAATGCGGAACAAATATCAAACACGCCTAACTAATAAATCGGCGTTCTCCAAAACTTCGGACTGGCGCCGGCAAAGCTCTTCGAGGCGTGCCAACGGATTCTGTAAACTTCCAGTATAAGTACGTCGCTTGAAGGAGGTGCAAAAACACATCAACCGTGAGACCCACCCAGTCCTCCTGTTTTGGTACGCCTTCCGCGATCGGTAATTGTTCATCGGTAGTCTCGTCCCCCGCGGCTTGCCCGAAGGATCGTCTGATGGGCGCTGGCGTCACGGGAAGGCTGGGGCGTTCTACCTCCGTGGGGAAATCCGTGACTCGCATGCCCATGGGCCCATACTCGGTTGTTCGCCAGCTGGAGGGCTCGGTTCCCGGGCTGGGTCCCCCAGAGATCACTTGCACTTTGGCTTTTCTGCCATGTTGAATGGATGATATGTACTTCTGTATCTCCGGTACTTCATCCCATGCATTTGAATGGGAATAGGTCTCCCATGTAGCGGTAGATGGCTCTTCGGCTGTCCATGAGGTCCTTGACCATATGGATGGTTTGTATTCTTCTCTGGTGGATGTCGAGGGTGACTCTACGCTGGGCGTAGAGACTGTACTCGGCTGGTCCTCCAGAAAAACACGCGTGGGCTTGGGCGCACGACTTTCCCAAGGGAATATTTGCGTAAGTTTTTCTGGCTCCGGCTTTGTCTCAGGGACCTGGTACCACATGTTCTTCGGAGCCTCTGGATAAGATGCCGGCGGTTGAAAGAGCCGTTGATCTTCAGACATGGTATAAGTCCTTTCGGCCAATGCAAAACCTTCCGGCTTGCTGTTCACAGGAGGCGGTTCCCTAAAAAGACCGAGTGAGAAGGGTCCTTTCAGCGAATCAATTTTGCACTTACCGAGCTGCATCCCATTCCGCCTTGGGCGCTTCAAAAGTTTCGACCTCGACTGGCGGTGCGGACAGTACCTGAGGTGGCTGTTGTGTCTCGACGACGGGCTCTGGCTGTTGATGCTCGTGATGGACCTCATTCGCAGCCGAGGGTTGCGACGGAGGCGGTAGAGCGCTAGCCTGGTGAGTAGGCTGTTCGGTCTGTATTGTGAACGCTGGTTGGCTGGAATGCGGCTGCACATAGGCGGATACGTGTTCTTCTCCACGAACATACTGTGGAACAGCACTTCTGATCGGTGCTGCTTCACTCTGAATCGGATGATGTTCCTCTGGTACTGGTTGCGCATGTTCCACGTGCGACACCTCCGGCCCATGAGAAGAACTGCCCTGGTCATGGAAGCCTTCCTCGCGAGGAGCCTGTTCGACCTGGGTGTGGCTATGACTACGTACTGAATGTGGTTGTAGTGGTGGCGTTCCTAATGCTTGCCCAGAAGAGCTAGCCACTTGTTGATCATGCTGTATTTCTAAGACTTGCTCAAAGGAACTAGCCATAGGTTGATCTCCAGGAGGATGTGAAATCTGTAAGTGAGACGGTTGCGGTACAGTCTTTTGTGGGTAGGTAGGTATGTCACTCTCTACCATGGCAGGCCTACTGGGCAGGTAGTGGACGGGCACCTGAAACGTAGTGAGCAATAAAGGTAGCTGACAGGAATGCATCATAGCAGAGAAAGTCAAAACCCACCGTTACAACAGGGCGATAGTGCCTATCGTAAATAGCCCACCACCTCCCCAGCAACTGATTATATGGTGATTCCACAGGCAAGACTTGTCTAGGCATGTTCCAGGGCTTCTGAGCCCCAATGAAGTGGATCAGGCTAATGGTGCTCTGGAAATGCTTATAGGCAGGGATGTACTGGTAGTTGGCGCTGGGAGTGCAGTTATACGTGAAGCTCAACCTATGCCAATTGCGAAAATGCATGTTCAGCAGCCCTTGGTCGGCCCCGTCAAAGCTAATGCCCCTCTCCGCGAGCGTCTTGAGCGCATAGTAATCCTGCAAGTTGGGTCGCAGGACCATAACACCGCTATTGAAAATATCCGGCCATCCGACATCAGGCGCGGCCGCGAAATCCGCCTCCAATGTTAAGAGTTCATCCGGAGCTCTCACAGCCACGACATCACAGTCAATGTATACTATGCGTCTGAATTGCGTCTGTCGCCAGAGTTCGATCTTGGTGAATGTTGAGATCAGATCCGGGCGATCCATCAGCCATAGGTTTGCCGGAGTGTGATTTGTTGCTGTTTGTACGGGTATGATCTCGTCGTATGCCGTCTAAGAAGACCTGGTCAGCGACATGGTTATGATAAGATACCCTCGGCTGTTTGAACACAAGCGCACGTCTGATGTAATCGAGTAAGTAGTAGGGCCATACCTGGAGCTCCTTGACAGTAACATACTGTAATGTGTCAGGTGTGTAGAGAGCAACGAGCTTCGCCTTTGTGCCATTATCCCGCAATGAATGGGCGAGAACCATAGCACCTAGAGGGACAAGCTTAGTAAAGATCGATTTGACGGGCTTCAACAGATCAATTGTCTACCAGGAAGATAATGATCGCTCAATAGGAGCTAAAAATGGATTAATATTGCTCTCGACGTAGTTGACGGCCCGGGGAATGCGAATCAGTACATACCGTGCAATAAACTGCGCTTCCTTCAGGTACCATCTCGACGGTACCTGAATCCCACTCGAACTCCGTAGAGATCGGGAAGGGAGATCAAGAAGGGAGAAAAAGGATGATACCTCAACTAAAGATTATGAGAGTAGGAAATAGACAGAAAAGGCAAAATAAGGGAGGAAAAACGAAAGACGAAACGGTTGACAGGTAATGATGATCAAGACGGGACCTCCTCGTCCCCTCTCCGTCAAGGGTAACGTCAAAGCAAACCAACCCCGCCCGCCAGCAGAAGCAGCGACACGAGTACCTGGGAAATGATCAAGTGGATCGGAGCGACAGCTGCCACAAGAGCTGCATCGCGTCCAAAGAGGTTACAGACTCGCCATTCGAACGGTCACTCAGCAGGAAAACCGAAAGACTATGGGCGGTTGAGAGAAACAGTGACAGCGGAAGAAGAGGTAAGTTGGTAACCTGAGGTATCTAATTTCCAAGGTAGCTGCTCTAAACTTGCTGGGCGGGTAGCTGGATAAAACATGGTCACGGATACTAAGAAATCAAAAACAAAAAACCGGCCCATTGACAATTACTCCGAGACAATGACGATCTGGATGATCTGGGGAGTCCAATAATCCTTCAGTATCTATCTACCTACTGACCAGTAACTAGAGTATCTACTCCAAGACAACTCTGGCCGGATTGGGCTGACCTGGACCGTTCCTGGCTCGCTCAAGTGGGGTCAACAACAGTGCACTTCTTCTTATCAAGGTGCCTCCAGACTTTCTACCATCATCAACCCCTGCATTTGGTCCGTGCCCTCATGCCACAATCAGCGCTTTGATCCCCAAGGATATTCATGTCATTGAGGATGGTAAAGAGCTCTGTTATTCTCAACCGGTCCAGGAACTAGTGCGGCCGGTGAAACAAATCAGACTGGCTATTGATATGACCCTTACATTTATCCTTTACGAGGGAAAAGTTCCGTTGTCTATGTTTACTGTTTGATCCCGTACCCGGGCAAGGCCACCACCGACAGTGCTACAGACGAGGGGCAATCTGAACATCAGTTACTCCGTACGCAGAGTGCATCAGCATGAAGACTCTAGGAATATGATGCACACAGAATGCGATCAATGATGACAATCGATTGATGGATGAAATATTAATGCGTAGTCTTACATTGGATGGTCTCCCTTTCCAGGTGACACTCCGCAGATATGTGAACCCTTGGCACTGTCTATACAAACTCAACCAGCGAGTCTGCAACACGGCAACGCAAAAGACGAGAAAATTGTCAACAGAAGGATAGGAGAGCGATCGGGAAAGGGAGGTCAACTCCCACAAGGTACCACATCCGTCTCAACGTACCATTCCTACTTGCGAACAGTCACCACGGCGTCAGGGTAACAAGCCTGAACAACGGCACCGATGTCCTCTCGTTCTCCCTTCACAGCCCACTCCACGGTCTTCTCGATGGCCACACGGCTCTCGCGCTCCAATGGCGTGAAGTGACGAGAGCGTGGGAGCACGACGACCTCGCTGTTGTAGACAAGGTAGTCCGAGATGCCATCAAGGCACAGCTGAGCGTCGAGAGCAATATCTGCCTTGCCCCAGAGGATTGTGGAGCTTGCTTTCAACGCTCCTGTAGGTCCGTCATCGAACAAGCCAACTCCACTACCAGTGCGCCGCAGCGGATTCCCTCCCGCAATGCTATGCAGGTCGGCGATGGTTTGGACAGATTTGCACCAGCGGCCCATTGCCGCCCCATCTCGGTAGTAGCGAACCATGTGCTGGAAGTTAGAGAACGCACGCTCCTCCACCGAAACTGGATACTCGTCGCCTTCGGCAGTCCGTGTTTTGCATTCTTCGGTCGACGGGCCCAAAGTGCTAGCCATACATTCTGCGGCATCCCGAGCGGTGAAATCGACATCACCATGGGAGTCTTGATGAACCGCCTTTAGGAAGGAAAGGTTGCCCCCGCTGCCGAAGTATTTAACAAAGCCCATTGGCAATTGCATCACAAAGATATAGCCCGAGAGCTTCAATTGCCGAAACACAGGCCACAGAGACCTGACAGCTTTGATGAGCGTCGAGCGCGACCGGATTGGTGAGCGGATCGAAGTCTTGAACATTTTCGACGATGAGGATACAAGTCGCCGAATGTTCGCTGCAGCCAGACCGGGCTGGAAATGAGAGTTAGTGAAGGTCAATCACCCATTGGTCGTTGCTATACATACCACCGGCCCATTGGTGACGATAAACCGGTCAGCCAACTGAGGAGCTTCAGCTGCAAGCCGCGTGGAGATAACGCAACCCCAGTCATGCCCCACGATAACCGTCCGTCGCTGGTTGTTTCCAGTCTCCGTATCAATGCCGTACTTGACTCTGATAGTGATGATAAACTCCGTCAAGCTCTCCAAGACGTTTGTCGCCGAATATTTGTCCAAACAATCGCTTCCTCCGTAGCCGGGTAAGTCGACGACAACCAATGTAGCCGCAGATTGAAGAGACTTGGAGCTCACGATGTACCGCCACACGGCCCAGCTATCAGGAAACCCGTGGATGAAGATCGCCAGTGGTTTCTGAGACGCCGTCGAGCTCTCAGGGGAATCATTGCAAAGGTAATGGAATTTGAATCCGTTTCGCAGGGTAAGCATGTGATGAGAAAGACCAAAGCATTCTTTCGAGAGATCCCAGAAGCGGTCGCGGGCTATTCCCATTGCAACAGGCATCGGGTCAGTTCTGCTGCGATCGAAATGTCCGCGACGCAAGCCCACTCACCTAACTGCAACTCCAACTTCTCCTTCTCAGTCGGACGTTTGAAGAAAAGTCCCTTCTTCACAGCTATGAGTCCATAGAGAACCAGAGTGAAAAATCCATAAGCAAAAATCACAGCAGATTTGAAGCTATTAGCGAGACAGCCAGCCATGTTGCTAGCAGTCTGGCAGATGACCTGCTCTCCACTCAAACAATGACGCTAAGAGCAAGAAGAAGTTGTAATTTCAGAAGGAACGTAACAAGTTGGTGACTTTCCTCATGGAGAAAACTGCAATGGTACCTAAGCTTCAGTGCAATAATACAATGAAATACGATGGGAGAAAGAAATAAAAAATTGAACTGGCTTTGGGCACAAAATAAGCTTAAAGCAGTACCTAGATAGATGGAGGCTGGAGCCTGGAGCCTGGAGGGGAAGCGTTCTCCGCCCACTAGTACGGAGTAACTACTATATAAATGATGCGTCATAACGCATGTGATTATGCTTGCTTGCCTGATGCATAAGGCAACACAACTCAGTTTCAAACCTGAGCTTATAGCTTGATACCATCATAGTAATTATAGGATGCCATATTCGAGAGAAGGAGAGCTTTTGAGGAGCTATTGATCTTGAACATATATTCGTCTAACAAAGTCGAATTCTCACAAGATCAAAAGGCAAAAGCCTCTCCAACCAAGGCGATGTAGGCGAAGGAGAAGCCTTGAACGTCCTGGAAAAAGCAATACATTGGTAGAGACAGCTGCAAAGCTACATATACAGAACAGGGAACTGTTGCAGCTGCAGTACTGTCAAGTCTAGACGCCTCCATCATAGACGAATATCAACAAAGCGAAAGAAACATAAAGTACAATACAAACGCTAACAGCCTCATACAATGCAGTCAGGCAATTGAGACATCACTCGCAAGAAATGGGTATTGATATAGAGCAAGTGCAACCGAAGATTCATGAAGCAAAATCATAACACCGGAAAGTTAAAGAAGAGGAAGAAGAAATTTCATCACCAACTCCCGAGCAGATCAAATGAAGAATCCCAAATTCTCACGGTTATCGTCTACTAAACGTCCGTATCTGCCAAGGCAATGTTAGCGAGTCACGAATTGCAATCAAGAAGTAAGCTTACTCTAGCAACAGTCTGAAGAACCACACTTCAATATCGTCATTTCGTAATGCTTTCTGGGCCCAGTCCTGGCCTTGTCGCGCAATCTTTGCCGCCATGTTTTTGCCCTCATCTTCAGCGACAAAGTACCGCATCATCTCGACGTACTCGTCGCCCGTCAAGCTCAGAGGAACGTAGTGTACCCAGGGTTTGATCCACTCGTCGTGCCATTCACGAAAAATAGCCACCTTGCAAACTAGACTGTTGCTGTGCAAAAAGGCGTAATACCGGCCACTGAATGCGTTCCCGTCGATATCGATTAGATACTTGTAAGTCCATGCATCCTGCTGATCAGCCGCATCCACGATGTCAAAGAATTCCCTCTGAGCATCGCAGTCGTTCGGGTCACATTGCCCGATGGACGAAAACCTAATGTCGAACAGATCACGATACTCTGCGCGGCTGACTTCCTTGGTTTGCCAATTACCGTCAGTGGTTTTAGCAAGAACCTTGGCATTGCCCAGGCTATTGCTGTTGCCGACAAAAATCTGACGGTGTTGCCGCCGCCAGCCACCAGCCCGAGAGAAACCTCCGGTTGTGGAACCCCTCCAGTACATCTTTTCTTGCTTCTCGTCCCAAGGGTAATCCGCTCCCTCCGCGTAGGGAACCATGTTAGCCCAGTACCAGGGACTTGGATAGAGGATATCCTGAAAGCTGGAGATTTTGCTCTGCGAGAAAATTGGAAATAGATCGTGAACGACGTCAAAGGCGTTTGCACGGTCAAAAAAGCCGTAAGTTTTTCTCAATGACGGAGTATTGCAGATATCGGAAAAGGCAGTGGTATTGTAGATAAAACCCGGATCTCCACGTTCGTAGGCCCTGACATTATCAGGCGCATTCTCGTCCAGGGATCGGGCGGGGCTGTCCACCGAGCAGGAAGCTCGAGAGTCGGTCCATGTGGGCTGATGTGCATAGCGATTGAAACGTGTCGTACGCACTTCGTCGATCCGGTCACCCTTGTTCAGATCTTTGGGCCGAGGCGACCACGCGTTCGTCGGCGATTGATTCTGGAAGGATTTCGGGAGGACACTGTCCTTCGCAACACTGACCATCCTGCGCAGATCATCGCTTGGAATGACGACTCGAGGCTCATCGTGGGTATTGAAAACGAGGTCCATATCTGGTAGAAACTTCACAAAGTCACTCATCATCCCAGCAGTAGCATCTCGCTGCCATTTGTGTTCGTCACCACCTCCTTCTACCAGAGTGACCTTTCCATTTCTGATGAGCAATCCAATCACAGCATTGTCATACCCAAGCGTCTCGCGCGCACGTTCACGAATCAGCTTTGGCTCGATCGCCCAAAAAGGTAGCAAGGAGTGGTAAATCGTGTCGTATTCATCAATCAATTGGACACCCCTCGATTGAGCGAACTGAAACCACCTATCGAAATGCGGCGGGGGGTGCATATTATATCGACGACGGTATTCATTGACGGCGTCGGTCAGAGTCTTGGACTGGCGCGAATGCAACTGTTCGAATTCGTGCTCTGCATTTTCGACGAGAGTGGCGATTGGGTGCTGATCTCCGGAAAAGGGTGTTGTCGCGGGACTTTCTGGCAACTGTTTCTGCTGCTGCAAATTGGTGGAAATATGTGCAGGAGGGCGTGGAGTAGCTGGAGGAGGCTGATTGAGGGGTAAGTCGGAATCATGATGGCTTCTTCTGAGAAAGACAACCGATAAGCTTGCGAGGATGACGACACCCAATAAGAAAACGAGTCGTTGAAGTCGCATCCTGCCACCGAGAGGGGCTTTCTTAGCTATGTACGCGAAAAGAGTGCCGAGGGGGCATTGAGACGAGGGCGATGGTAACAAGAATGTTTGTTTGTTTGTTGATGATGCATGTAAGGGTTTTGCGAGGGTGAAAAGGAGAAGCAGGATGACGAAGAACCCCGGGGGGGTGAATGATAAATGGCAAATAATATAGAAGCTCCCTTCGACGACAAATGATTTGATTGTTCGATATGAAATAATTCATGGAAATAGAGGTGGGACCAAATCTCTCTCCAAAACCCCCCCCCCCAAAGTACTAAGTAGATAGGTAAATACGTAATCGGTTGTCCGGACCACGAGACAGGCACTAAGAACTTTAAGGTTCTGCAAGAACTTTAGGGACACAGGGCGGCAGGGCCAGACCATTATTCAACCACAAGCGTCGACCAGGAGAATTCCACATTTGTGTTTGGTGTGCCAAGAATCGACCGCGCAGGTAGGTACTTAATCCTTGAATGCTGGCTTGATGGTACCTTATGAGCTAAGGACATATTCGATTACTCGAGTGGCCGTTGCTATCTTGCCGTGCATTTCTTGTGCTTGAGAATACGTAATCCGAATAAGGGGGGACTCGGCAAGTGATTCCAGAGCGAGAATTTTCAGGAGCCACATTTATGCTTGGTGGCGGGAAGGTTGCGTATCGAACCTGCTTAGGCTGCTTAGGTGCCTCAGCTTTGTAACTCCGTACGGATGATTGCAGTGCTGATGGTGATTGCATCGTTATCATTCCAGATAATGGTGTCGATTCTGCAAAAGTCCCTTGGTTAGAATAGTGGCATTGGGATGTGGCAGTGAAAGTGCCAATTATATAGTATTTCATCTTCGAGCCTCTCAGCCGCGGTTCATGGCTGTCAAAGGAAGGTACTAATCAGTGTAGAAATTGACTCAAGATAGTGACCTAGTGCTGCTTGTCTCGCGAAAACATCCAACAGCAAGCTATGTTAAGTGCAAAAGCCCCCAGTGTCTCGAGGACAAATGCTTGCGCCTGAGCAACATGGCAGTACGCTGCAAGACACAATGCTGCGACCAGCAGCATATGCACAACATAAAACAACTGTCGTCTCAAATGTATCGATCCTGTTCTCATGGCTCGCAGCCCGCCGGTTGATCCCACGGGCCGTGTAAGGAGAAGAATGAAGATCGTGGTGACAACTCCGCACAAGCCCCACTGGACATCCAAATCGCGTATGCGTTTGGCCAGCAAAGAGCTGAAATCTGGGTGAGACGATTGCACGAAGAATGACAAATACAGAGTGGCATGCGCAATCAATAAAGGCGAGAGGACTACTCGACCGAAGAGACGGTGCAAAGGCGTCAAGGCGGATTGTGGGATGGATGTCAAGATCGACACAACGGATGGCGATGTCGGTCTGGATGCGGATATATACCAGACCGGGGACATCAGCACCTGGAATGGCAACTGCGAAATGGCAACATGGCCCAGCGCTTTGGTCAGGTGGAGGTAATCTGACAGAATAGCTGTCATTTAGCTCGTGTCTATCTTGAACCAAGCAATAGAGTATTCAGGTATCGGCCCAGTCAGGAGCTGTGGGATATTGTTGTTCCTGCATCAAGGGACGGCCAGAACGACACGCGAAGAAAAGAAAGTACATACCCTCACCACTCCTCCACATGGAGAGTCCCAGAAGCCAACCAAGCCAAATCAAACAGACAGTATATTGTGCTCGAGTCTCCGACCAGCCGTGAAAGAGGGGTAATTCCCACCATGATCTATGTGCTCGCTGAGGGCCACTTGCATACCTTGCGGGCGAAAAGGACCTCTTATAGCATCTGAATGCGATCAAAGCAATGAGAACAGAAAGTTGAGCATAGTATCCCCGAAGATCAAGAAGCTCGCGGCGATGCTGTTGCTCGGCCGGAGAAACAAGTACGAAGTGCCAGGGCCATGACAGCGACATACTGGCTGTATGGTTGTTGGACAGTCACGTTGGCAGGATCTGACTAGACACGAGTGCAGAGAAGGCACATAAGCATATCAGTCACGAACTCGTTTACAGTGGGAGATCAGGTTGGCAGGCACCTTGAACGAAGCTTCCTAAGTATTCTAATGCATGATAGGCCGGGGTCGGAGCTAACGAGTTTTCTAACTGCAATCCTTGCTGCTGAGTCTCCGCCCTGCTAATTATCATGATTCATGAGTTTCCCAGTGCAATGAGGTGTAGAAGGAGCATTTTGATGATATAAGCTAATCTCTCGGGATATAAAAATGAAGCTATTACACCCTGCGTTGCCCTATCATGTCCTGGCATATATAGTTTAGTAAGATACGCTCTTCGGTGAGTGGCCGTAGAGAATAAAAAGAAAGATCCGTCAGCGATAGGACTCGAACCTATGCGGCCGAAGCCAAGTGATTTCTAATCACTCCCCTTAACCACTCGGGCACACTGACTAGTTCTGGAAGAATCGTTACTTTTTTTGATTCATTAAGGAAGAGAATGCTTACCACAATAATCGAGCCCAGAGCTGACATTGCACGACTATTATTTGAATATGGCTGGCTTTAGATGGAAGCATCTGACTAACATAGTACAGACGCGGAGACAGTGTCCCTTTGTATCCTGAACCTGATTACAGATATGGGCGATGGCAGTAATATGTTGCTGGAGTTGACGAGGATTACAGCTACACAGCATCAGAACAATGAACCTTGATTATATGTGTGGTTTCTCATTGGTATATGCTAGCTCAGAGCGAGGATCTCTTAAAGGTGATAAAGCCAAACTGTGATAATGCAGGTTGTTTTCGACACTTAGGTACGGATACTTCAGAACAGATGTGAGATCTAATATTATTGAATGTCCCTAAGTTGCAACTTCTCCCTGCTGGATAGGATCATATCTGAGTCTCTCATCTGTCTCTGGCATCCTTAGAACGGATGATAGATTCCATTGTAGTATAAAGCAATACTGGCAATCAGTATCATAAGCCCAGTCAGTGTGCCCGAGTGGTTAAGGGGAGTGATTAGAAATCACTTGGCTTCGGCCGCATAGGTTCGAGTCCTATCGCTGACGGATCTTTTTGTTTTTTTTGTTTTCTCATATTCCAAACCACAACTTTCGAGAATCCCAATAAATTAGTTTCTGCCCAACTCTCAGATACAAGATATTGCTGGTTTCTCATGATGGAACAAAGTCTACTTCATTAACGCCATGGATTATTTCATTCAGTGAGTCAGTTGGCCTGACCATTTCTCTAAGTGGACAAGATTGACAAGTCTCCAACCCGCCCCCCACAGAAGCGCAAGTCCTATATTTACTCCCGCTACCCTCAGTGAAAGGCTCCCTTAGGACGTGGGTATGAAGTGGTGCATGCAGCGAACTAGCATAATATCAAATGGCTAAGCCTAGGGTGAAGTCTGCATGGCCTCCTCGTGGCCGCCCACGGCAGTCGTAGCAAAGTACCGGACATCAACATCTTCATCCTGCTGCAACTTCTCTAAACTGGGAAGGATTCTCTGCTGGATGAGCTCCTGACCCCGCGGTGACGGGGTCGCGGGTTTTCCGGCTTTCTCGAGCTCGGACAGCGTCCCTTGGGCGGGAAGGCGCCGTAGTGTGTCGATCAATACAGCGTAGGATTTGGCGACATTGAAGCGGATATTGGGGATCTCATCCGTTACAAGTCTGTCTAGAATAGGAAGGATTGAGTTTTCTATTATGTCCAACGAGACAACGGGCGCAAGAGTCTAACATAGTTAGTAATGACCTAATTTCCAAGAGGCCGAGAGACACTCACAGAGATAGCAAAGCATGTGGTCATTCTGTAGAGATAGTTAGGATGTTGTCCCATGGCCATGACCTTCGGGATGATGGAGCCCTGGGCCCATTCGACTCCGAAGACTTCTGTAAGCTTTCGCAAATTTTGAGTGGCAGCCTCTCTGATAGAGAAGACAGTGTCACCAAGCCATCCCATGCACAAATCGCTCAGCTGTTCGTCGAAAAATTTGACTCCCAGCTGACTAGCGAGAAGAGGGATGTACTCGATGATAGCAAGACGAACTCTCCATTGTTTGTCTTCAGCTAACTGGACAATGGCGGGAAGAAGCGACTGCGAAAGGAGGTCGATGCCGATGACTGAAACCATTAGATATAACCGAACCGATGAGAAAGTCGTGTCTTGAATCTTACCTTTGTTGACCAATTCCAGCTTGGAAATGATATGCAGACGAACATCGGGGAACTCGTCTTTGAGCATCTGAAGGAACATCGGGAGCAGATGAGCAATCGTCCTAATCGTAGATCATCAGCACTCATGCCCAAGCAAACTTAGAACGGTATCACTCTGACTCTTCTTTCCCGAGGATCGGGGCCAGTCCGCTGATTTGAGTACCCAATGCCGCTCGCACATGCTGGGACTGGTCCGAGACAAGATCCTCCACGCTCGTCATGATCTCGTTAAGCAGAGTCTCCCGGTCAATCAAGCTGCAGAAACCTAATCGCCATCAGTTAGCCAAGTCCTAGTCTGCATAAAAGTCTTACATACCTGGAATCTGGCCTGCAATAGCAGTTCGAACTTCAGCCTCTGTGTCCTTTAGAAGCTTGACGAATGAGGGCACCATGTCGCGAGTAACGACCTCCTCGTGCACAGCTTTAGCGATCTGCCATAAGATGTCAGCACAGCCCAGAAAGGATAGCCAAAGCCGCAACATGGACAAAATACCTTCTCATATCGATCGGCAACCATGTATCTCACTCTCCAGCTCTTATCCTCAAACAGATTGCGCAGGGAGGTCAACAGGACACCATGGCTGGGTTGTTGCTCCTTGGGGATTTCCTCGGCGATAGAGATAAGAATGTCCACCGTCAGCAAGCGCACGCTGTCTTGATCGTCACTGGCCAAGTATTGGAACAAGGGTATTATTTCCTCAATGATCACTTGTGTCTGCATTTCCTTGACAAACTTGGCAAGGTTATTTGCCGCCTGTCGTCGCACCATCGGCGTTTCGTCATGTACAAGACCTCCGAAATATTGGCGGAGACTTTGCTGCAGTGGTTGCTGTGATTTTCTGTAGGGAACGCAGTAGAGACCTGTGGCTGAGACTTTCGATGTGAACCAGTCGGCTTTCGAGAGGCGAAGAACCATGGGGATGAAGTATTCTTCGATCTGCTTCTCGGACAATTCCTCCCCGATCTTGTTGAGCGACTCGACGGCCTAGCTTTCTGTCAGCAAAAGAAACGACAAATCCAATCCGCTGATTCTTACCTTCTCCCGCACCAATGGTTCTTCAATAGCTGCCAAGTTCTCTAGGGGAGAAAGGAGTACATGGCCAAATTCCGGACCGCCAACATATTCTACGAAAGTGCCCAGCTCTTCGCTAAGAGCAGTTAGGACTTCGTCTTCGTCCTCAACAGAGTCTGCGGAAAGCACCGATTAGATCACAAGTCTTGTCATGCCCGAATTTTGGTCGAAGAACTAACCATCGAGAAAAGGAATAAGTTCGTCCCGAGTTCTCTCTGGTCCTAAGGCCAATGCAATCGTAGAAAGACGGCGTATAGCGTTGATACGAAGAGTAACCTCATCATGCTAAAGGAGACGGCGCACGCGACAATCAGTTTATGTTAAAAGGAGATGACGTGGGTTAAAAGAGCAACTGTACCTTCAGCTCATCAATGAGAACGGCAATGGGGTAGAGCTCATCATTTTCTCCCTGACCCTCCATCGCGGGAACTTCTATATGCTTTTCAATGTACTATTGAATGAGTGAAAAAAGGCTAACGAGGCAAGGATGCGGCAGGTCCAAGGCCTCAGCAGGAATTGGAATTATGTTGGTAAATGTATCCGGTATGACGCGAACTGAACAGGGGTCCCAGAAGTTATTTTGTGATCGGCACAGAAAGGCTGTCGTGAACAGGATAAAAAGATCAAGCACCTGCTCTGAAACTGATATTAGTCGCTGATGATAGCAGAGTTCTGGTGGTATAGGAAGGGATAGTGGTTAGAGACCCCGGAGCGAGGTTTCGTGGGGTTTGGGCCGCCGCAGGACACTTGACTGAGTAGCAGCGTACCTGGACAATTGAGATGGAACTCAGCAAAACAGCAAACGTTATCGAAGAATAATGGAAGAATTGAAATCCCTAACTCAAGAAAGGAGTAAAGCCCCGAATGAGTCTGTAGAGGTAGGTATCTGGACGGCTACTATTCTGATTAAGGCGAGCTTCGGACGGTCGCTGGTGCTCACCTGAACCTGAGGCACTAGTACTACGGAGTACTAGCTGCTAGCTGTGGCTGGTGGGGGGTAAAAACAGATGTAACAGATTGATTCTTAGGAGCAACCAAGGTAAAGCCTGAGGCCCTAAGGCAATCAGGAGGGGTGAAATCGTGGCGGTGCAGTCCATCTGTGGCTTGATCGGCGGCCGCTGCGAGGGTCAAGCCCCAACGGAGACAAAAGTGCCACGGACTATGACTACTGCGATTATCTGCCCGACACTGGAGGACAGACTGAGCATTTGCGGAGATACCAACGCTGTCAATCTGCGTTGAATAACTGACATTCATTCTCATTTCCATACCAGTGCGTTGGCAGGCTTCAATCTCTGTCTAATCGCGGCGTACCTTCGATACAGTTGCTAAGAACAAGCCCCTCATCATGCCCACCATCTCGGTCGATAAGGCCGCGCTCTTCAAAGAGCTTGGTCGGGAGTATGTTTTTCTCTTGTGTCCAATGTCCTCGAAGTGTTTTTGTGACTGATCATATCCTCAAGATATACGACGGAGGAATTCGATGAGCTGTGCTTCGAATTCGGTACGTTTGACTCATTGATCCCTCTCTTTTTTTTCTGCGGGGTTTCTCGCTGACGACTCTTCCTATAGGCATTGAGCTTGATGAAGATGTAATGCGCTCCCGGACACCCTGAGAAATGCGATTGAAAATTGCTAAGGAGAGCAGACCACAAATTCGGACAGACCCATCGTCGATGGCAAGCAGGAGCCGCCCCAGCTGAAGATCGAAATCCCCGCCAACCGGTACGCATACTTTTCGGCAAACGCTGAACATTCCAATCGCATATACTGAGTCTTGTCTCCAGTTACGATCTGCTATGTTTCGAGGGTATCCAGCTCATGCTCAACATCTTCTTGGGCCGGAAGCCTCTCCCCAGTTACCGATTGGTTGAGCCCGCCAATGGGCAGATGGAGAAAATCATTGTCAAGGAAGATGTAAGTGAGCGGGTTCGGGGATTCTGTATCGGGCCAATATCCTTAACAACTCTTCAACTAGACTATGAAAGTAAGGCCGTTAGTTTCCGGAGCTATTCTTCGCAACATCAAATTCGACAAAGCCCGCTATGAATCCTTCATTGCTCTGCAAGACAAACTTCACCAGAACCTTGCCAGACAGAGAACGCTTGTGTCGATCGGTACCCATGACCTGGACACTATCCAGGGCCCCTTCACCTACGAGGCGCTGCCACCGAAGGACATCAAGTTTGTGCCTTTGAATCAGACGAAAGAACTGAACGGCAAGGAATTGATGTCCTTTTACGAGGTATGGAACTGACCGGCCACGGGTCGTCTCCAATTAATACTTACCTCCATGAACAGAAAGACAAGCATCTGGGCAAATATCTCCACATCATCCGCGACTCCCCCGTTTACCCCGTCATCTACGACTCGAAGAGGACTGTCTGTTCCCTGCCACCTATCATCAACGGTGACCACTCAAAGATTACTTTAGATACCAAGAATGTCTTGATCGAGGTTACAGCTCTTGACAAGACGAAGCTCGACATTGTGACCAAGATCATGGTCACGATGTTCTCCCAATATACCTCCGAGCCCTTCACGTATGTACAGTCTGCTTCGCCCTGTGTGCTTGATACTAACACATTCTTGCGCAGTGTTGAGCCTGTTCAGATTGTCTCTGAACATAATAACGAGACCAGAGTGGAGCCTGACATTGCGCCTCGTACCACTCAGGCCGAGGTCTCTTACATCAACCAGTGCTGTGGACTGGAGCTTTCTCCCGAGGAAATTTGCAAGCTCTTAACCAAGATGTCCTACCAGGCAAGGCCGTCCGCATCTTCGCCCGATCTCATTGACGTTGATGTTCCCCCCACCCGGGCGGACGTGCTTCACCAGGCAGATATCATGGAGGATGTTGCCATTGCGTACGGTTTCAACTCGCTCCCGCGGTCCTTCCCCAGCAAGTCTGGTACAATTGCTCAGCCTCTCCCCATCAATAAGCTCTCCGATATTGTCAGAATGGAAGCTGCAATGGCAGGCTGGTCGGAGGTCTTGCCCCTCATCTTGTGTTCTCACGACGAGAACTTCGCCTGGCTCAACCGCAAGGATGACGGCAACACCGCCGTCAAACTGGCAAACCCCAAGACCCTGGAGTTCCAAGTTGTCCGCACAAGCCTGCTTCCCGGCCTCCTCAAGACCATTCGTGAGAACAAGCATCACGCAGTGCCCATTAAGATCTTCGAGTGCAGCGATGTCGCCTTCAAAGATCTGGCGTTGGAACGTAAAAGCCGTAACGAGAGACACTTCGCCGCGGCTTGGTACGGCAAGACGAGCGGTTTTGAAGTTGTGCACGGCTTGCTTGACCGCCTCATGTCCATGCTCAAGAGCGCCTTCATCACAGGTGAGGAGGGTCTCGAGAACCCAGCCATCGGCGACTCGCATTACTGGATTGAAGAGCTCGACGGTAAGTCTTATATGATTTTTGTGTTACATGTATGTATCGGCGTATTAACTCAGTCTTAGAACCCACCTACTTCCCGGGTCATGCGGCATCCATCCACCTTCGTTTTTCTGGCAAGGACCACGTCATCGGTGCCTTCGGTATCTTACACCCTACAGTATTGGAGAAGTACGAGCTGAAATACCCCGTGAGCACGTTGGAGATCAACATTGAGGCTTTCCTGTAGGCGGGTGTCAAGACAGATGGGGGAGTGGTTTTAGCAAAAAGTATAGATATATGCCCTAGAAATATCCCTTGGCACAAAGCAGTTACAGCACTAGAGTCACGATGTACCTTGAATATGACATAGAAGAGGCCTACTTTTTCAGATTTCTGATCCGCTAGAGTGGATCTTTTCACATTCTTGGCAAGTTCCAGATCAAATGCTCCAGCTTTACGTATTTATTCTTAGATGGTAGAAATTTACAAGGGACTGTTGCTATTACCTTAGGCATTATATGGTCAAAAGCCAGCTACGCAGCCACACAGGGTATAATTCAGAGGAGTCTTAAATGAAAGACCCACCTACTTAATGGGTCGACATAGCCCATCCCGCAGTACCAGTACAAGTATAGTCGCAACGCGAACGACTGCCCCGTTCCGTAATCTCATTTCATTTCAAGTATCACTTTTGGTTTCCTACCTAGGTCTTTCACTAGGGATCTAGGAAGAGAGCTGGAAGCCCGGGAGAGATTCTCCAGCAGCTGCGAAAGAAATTGTCGAAAGAGGAGACAATTGAAGTTCATGTAGTGTTCTTTATTGCGTGAGGTTAGAAGTAGGTAGGTAGGACGACAGGAACGAAGAAAAGAAGAGCAGGGCCTATTTTAGAGAAAAGAAACCAGATTACTCCTGGGCGTAAGCCTCCGCACCGGCGGCACCCTCCTGGCCTTCAGCGGCCTGCTGCTCAGCAAGTCGCTGCTGCTCGGCGAGCTGCTGAGCGGCGAGAGCCTTGGCACCGTAGTCCTGGCTCATGGGCTGCAGGACGGGCTGCTCCTCCTTGGGCTCGATGATGGTGACGGAGTCAGGGAGGGTCTTCTGAGGACCGGCCTTGCCCTCGGGGTCGGAGCCGCGCATGATCTTGACCTTGATACCAAGAACACCCTGGCGGAGAAGGACGTGACGGGTGGCGCTGTCAATGAACTCCTTGGCGGGCTGACCGGAGTGGATCATGAAACCGTCCTGTACAGAGAGGATAGCGTTAGTCACACCATTCTTGTATCGTTGCTTGCACCTCCCGGATCCGAAATCCCCTCATTCATCTTCCTTCATAATTCCTCTTTTCCTTGAGCAAATCCCCCAAAGCAATAGTCGACGTACCGTGAACTTCATGGACTTGGCACGGGCAGCACGCAGCTTTCCGGAAACGACAACCTCACAACCCTTGGCACCGCTCTCCATGATGAATCTCAGGACACCGTAGCAGGCTCTGCGGACGGCCAGACCGTTGAGAAGCTTGTAGCGGAGGGACTCGCACTGAGCGACGGCGGACAGACCGCGGTTCTGGACCTTGGCGGCATAGAGGGAGACGGAGTTCTCGGGGAACTTGAAGCGCTTCTGGATGAGGGAGGTGAGCTCGCGGATGCGGCGACCCTGCTCACCGAGAACCTCCTGAGTGTGGGTGGCACGGATGACTGCGCAAAAAAAGAGCATCCGTTAGCATCATGACACTATTCCCCGTGTGATTCCTCGCGACAAATATATTCCTCCCATTGCGTCCTCAATTTCGTGGTTTCCCCATCTTTTCTGGCCTCCTTCAACCTCCAATAACCTAACGGAAAGAATACTTATAATCGGGCGAACGTACTGATGTCGGTGACGGTGGGAGTGACACGGACTTCAACACCAGAGTAGCCCTCCTCAGCCAGCTCGCGCTGGAAGAACTCGTTCAACTCGGCATAGAAGACACCGTCGGCGACGAACTTGCGGCGCTTCGAAATAGCTCCCTGGACAGCGGCCATGATTGCGTTTCTGCTGGTTGGTTTCTAGGTTGTCGAAGAAACGGCCGTAGCGGTGCACCAAAGTTGGGAAGTCGTTCGAGGGCGAAGTGGTCGGCAGTCGTCAGACCAGATTTGAGAGATTCCGCGTTAGTGGGGATTTTTTGGGAATAGGGCTTGTCCTTCCTTTCTGGGATAGGGCTCAACCCTCGCTTGCACTCCCGCCGACCCCTTTCCATAATAGGAATAGTCCAAAGAACTAGCTCTCAGAGCTTAATCCTGTTCAGGCTCTCAGGCATCAATTTGCTGACTATCTACGTACCCTTCTACAGCTTCCTTTCAGGCTATCGAGGCACCTGCCAACAGACTTCGCAATCTTCAACCTTTGCCGTAAGAATATTCGTCATGTTCTAGGCCTAGCTTAGACCGATCCTTTGTCATAACAGTCGCTCAATGTAACATACATTAAATCGTGAACTGCAATCAAGTGCCATGCGCTTATCGTCTTTCATTGTCTGCTCCATTCCTATTGCATTTCAAGCTCCATCTGACTCAGATTTTGCGGCTCCTGAGAGTGCTCCCTTCCCTTGGAGAAACTTAGATTTGAGATTCCTGAAGCCACTGCTGCCATTCCGGTCGGGGCAGCGTTACTGGTCACATTGCCAGGAGTCCCGCTTCCGACAGCATGGTGAGCTGTCTCGATACCTGTCAAGACCGGCGTTGACTCAGAGCTGGGACTATCACGACGGGCAGAGGGAGTAACGCTGGTTGAGCGGGCCCCGTTCATCTCCGCATCTGTTCGACCAAATGCTTCGTTCCACCATCTGACTTCATTGATACGCGGGAAGATCAGGCGTTCTTTGCCGCGCTTATGATCGTCTATTTGAGGATCATACTTGGGATTGAGAAATTGTTCCCTCCGGGCAAGGAAGTAATCCCACACGCTCCGAGTGCGCTCCTTAGCCTTCAGCTCCACCCGCTCCTTTTCGCTATTAAAAAGGAATGTACCATATTGGCACGAGTAGAGATGGTAGAGCAGCCGCCTGAGAAATCGCTCGTTGAATTCAAATCGTGTCGGATGTTGGTATAAGAGTTGGTAGGTCGCATCGAGGAACTGATGAAAGACCGGACTTGTTTCCTTCACCTTGGTTACCTCCTTTTCGGAGACAGCGCTTCTGGGGGCGGAACCTGGCTTTCTGGGACTGTCGGAGTCACAGTTTTGCATTTCCCCTTCCGAATCCGGGAGGGAGTCGCGACTCGTGTTGTCCCTGTTAAAAAAACCTTTTGCACTGAGGAAAGCATTCTCGATGGCTTTGCTTGCACCACCGGCCTCTCCAAATCCCCGACCGGAATCTCCCCCAATTCTTTCGTTTTCAATCTGAAACCACTTTTCGCTGCTCAAAGGACCCGTTCTGTGCCGGAACATGTGGCCAAAGGAAAGCCAGTCCTTCTCCACGAGCACCATGAACCCTTCCATCGTCCGAAAGTAAGGATCGAGACATATCTGACTCAGAGCGCTCAACTGGCCCGTGCGATCCCATCCATCCGAGCAGTGAATGAGCACATGCGAGTGCTGTAAGCCAACTTGACGAGCTATCAACCCGGCGCCATCCAGAATGCCAGCGATATGCTTCAGCCATCCACTTCGCGCAAGTTGATCCCTATTAGGTCCTAATGGCGTGACATCTGAGTCTTTAAGTGCATCGACCACCTTGTTGAGGGAGTCCCGCATGACGTGGATGTTGTCAATGCCCAGGTAGGCCTTCGTAGCGAACTTGTAATTGTCCATATTTTCTGAGCCCAGACCAACGGCTTGCATAGCAAATGCATTGACTGTCGGCCGTGCATCGACAATCAGATTATGCTGCTGAGCACCATAAATCTGAGGTCTTTCCTCTGGATCCCCACGAAATGACTCCAGCATCTCGTCTTCCAATTCCTCGGTGTTTGTCAGATCAGTCAGCATCAGGCTTGATGAAACGTCACCCTGTGTAGAGCTTGAGGAATCATGTTCCAGATGTGGTGGAGTGAAATTCGCCAGTGGCCTATCTGCACGGGATGTTGAGAATATCGCTGCTAACAGCTTCTCATCCTGGATGCTCCGGTTCTGCCGTACACCGACCAGAGGTTGAGAGCTTCTCGTGATTGAGCAGTTGTTGATGGGATGTCGATACGTCAGGACAGGCACTCGTGCTCTCGACCGATAACGACCCGCGTAGTTGAGCGTATTGTCTGAAATGGCCGACGGCACCGGTAGAAGAGCGGGGTATGTCGGTGAAAACTGAGACATCCAAAGTCAACGCAGCGATCATGAAGCTACTCAGGAGAGAGGAGTTTACCCCGTAGTCCATATTCATCTCGGAAATACGCCAGCCATTGCTGTTGCCATCGCAGCCCACGCCCTGCCTAGTCCACTCTTTGCGTGCATCGTACAATTCCCAACCGTTGTATTCCCGCTCCGGCGGCGGCGGCTGATAAGTGAAGGCATAGAGTTTGTCGATCCGGCCGACTTTGCAAGTCCAGAGCTTTATGCTTTCATATACATCGCGAGCTTTACTCTCACTGGCAAAGTAGAAACAAACGAACGTAAAGTCTCGACAGCGCAAGCGAATCGACGACGGCTGGCGGGATGCGGCGGGAGTTGGGCGGCATGTACAAAATGAGATGATAGGGTAGGTTATCCACAGCTCCCTCGGTCGAACGGGCGTACCTTGAGCCTGCGCAGTCTCGGCTCCTTGGGGTATGTGGGAGAAGATAATATGGTGAGGGGTGAGGTGTAGCGTGCCGACGACCTGTTCACCACGACGCGCCAAGGTCACATCTTCAACCTGAGAGTCGAGGGAAGGAGGAGAACAGTCAGATCCAGACGTTTTGTTTCAACTCGGATTGTATGTATTCATGGATCAAACCTTAGCGATTCGTGTTCTCTCCATGCCTATGCTATTTCCTTGTCCGCATAACCTTCATGACGGGTATGACAAACAAGCTGGCTCGATTTCTGGACGGTCGGAGAGGACTGCGGTGAGTCGACTAATACTCCCAGTCGATGATAGCACAGCGAGTAAAGGTTACTGGCAGAATAGCGCTGTCAATGACAAAATTGCAGGTTTTTGGAGAAGTCTCGAGGTGGGAGATCTCTCCAACCACAAAGAAGTGAAGCCCGATTCGGTCAGATGCGGAGCCCCTCGCTAACTACGTCAAATGCCCACCGACCACTGAAGGCAGGAGAGATGTAGTTAGTTGTCTGCTCTATGGGGCATTAAAGTGAGTTGAAATGACCGGACAGTCGGTAGGTTACTATATATTGCGTTCGAATGACCTTCAATGTCTCCTTTCTCTTTGATATTCGACGGCATTTTTAAGTCGTTGAATGAATTCAAAGATTGTTGAGCATAATGAATCCAAGCGTCTGTGACTGATTACCTGTTTGGGCTACAGATGGCGACTGACCACACGCACCTGATCGATACATACCATACCCTTTGTTTGAAAAACTCCGAGGACATACATGTCTGACTCGCTGCCTACAACTTTCGGTTGGTTTGGGACCAGAAAGATTGCGATAGGACAAAAATATATTCCTATGCTGATCCAGCCAGCGCAATTGTAGAGTTGGCATACGTACGTTGTCCAGCTTGACTAAGGTGAATTCTATGCAAATAAGATCTCATGATTATAATACAATATAAAACATATAATACATTGAGTGATACCTCTTAGACAACATCCATCCGCCAAGCCTTATCCAGCTCAAATGCCAGAGAGCAAGCAGCACCGTAGAACGTGTTGAACTCACGATGGAGTGGATCCTGAGACATAGCATCCTCTGCAGGTGGACTTGCGGAGCTGTCACCCTCAGTGACGTCCATGTCGAGAAAAATATCCGTCGTTCGGTAGGGATTGAACGGCCCGCTCTCGTAGAAAGCATAGTTGAGCTGCTGGCCTTGGAAATCATAGCGATGAATGCGCGTGCCTTGAAGGTCGTTCAGTGGCATGAACATGTATTCCGCAGTAGTGTGGTTACTCGAAAAGTCTTGTTCCCTGCTGACAGTTCCCTTCAACAGATCATTGGGAAGCGGAACATGAGTAAAGGCAGGAAGAGGCGCTTCACCTTCGCTGTTCATGTACCTAGAAAAGATGCCCTGCAAGCATTCTCGGAGGCTTTCAACCGTAATGTTCTCGGCTGACTCATTTTCCCCATGCAGTAAATCGCGGTACAACTTTCTGGTAAACCGAAGGTCAAGGCCGTTCTCGGGGAGCAGATAGTCAACACTGCTCTCGGCCAGCTCAGCTTTCACGCTATGAATCTCAATTTCGGTACCAGAGCCAGAGGACCAATGTGATCCTTTTAAGGTGGCCTCTATTTCGAGTCGCGGAAAGATGTTCGCATGGGCAGCGGTTGGAATCAGCCGGAAGAGGTAAAACTGTTGGTCATCATCGGGTAGACGTGGCGTGAGCATACGGAGAAACGACGTTACTCGAGGAACGTCTGCAGTGAAAGTTCGAGGAAGATTCAATTTGCCCAGCTGAGAAGCGCTGAGGGTTTGAGTCTCGAAGGAAGGCTTGCGTAAGAACAGACACCGACCAACCGCAGCTATTACGGTCTCGCTGATACCATTTCGTTCTGAGATTAATGGTGATGACTTTCTGAGTAATTTAAGCAGCTCGTCTGACAAAAGTGATTGATGCTTATTGAAGTACGGGGTGTCCAGGATCTTCGTCTCGGAGGATTGAGCAGATGACATTGCCCACCGAAACCACGCTTTTTGCCGATCGATCCACGGGACGTTTCGCTCTGGATCTACATTGTAGACACTAGCCGACTGGGACGCGGATAAGTAAGTGCCGAAGGGTATCGCAGGAGAAGTCGTGTTGTAGATCGCTAGATTTAGGGTTCTCCGAGCATTGTCCGCATCTTCTCTGTTCTCCGCGAGGTAGAACATCTTAATTCGGCCTTGTGATGGCCCCTGCTCGAATGCAACTCCATAGGTCTCGCTGACCCACGCGAGAAAACCAGGAGTAAAAATACGACCACTTTTGGACGTGGCATTATTTGGTGTAGGCAGATCAATATCTTCCTGCCGAATTCTGTTCGTTGCATCGTATATAATCTCGCGAATCGATTCACATGTGTGCTGATTCCCAGTTACTCTGACGAGGCCCAACGCACGGGTGACGTCAATCTTCACGTCGTGTAAGTTGGCCAATTCTTCGAAAGAGAAATGCTCAGAGTTGAGCAGCAGCGATAATGAGTAGGCGGGGAGCCGGATGTCGATTTGGCCAACTTCACCAGCAACACCTAGCTGCCAGCAGTCTCGTAGAATCCTCTCTGCAAGGAGTTGTTTCCCTTTCAGAGCTTGTGTCACGGCGACTCTATCGGCAACGCCTCCCTGCGAGATTGGACCGGTTTCAAGAAACACGGAAGTTCCGGGTCTCCAGACAGCAGTGCCGGTGTGATCATTTCGTGGCTCCCCATCCTTCTGGACCAAAGCCTCCTGCTTCGCTTCTTGTATGTAGTCTGACAGCTGTTGAAAGGTAAAGGATAATTGGAGTCTATTCCGCAATTCTTCCCAATCGTTGATGGACAACTTGTCGTGCGGCCGATGAGGTTCACAAAAGCTTCTTATGCTCTCATTGACGGTAGCAGATTCGAGAACGATATCCCTGCTTTCGATATCTTCTAGCATGAATGGAAGGGCAGATTTATCGGATGTGTTGCTCTCGATCTCTGGGTTTCGACGGCGGCGGGTCCGATGCGCCACGACAACGATTTCCCCAGGCTTTCCCAACGTGTCGACATCGAGCGTCAACTTCTGACTCCTTGAACATTCCTTCTGGTTTCTCCACTGGGCTCGAGATCGAGGGCGAGATGATGTCTCGTCCTCCGGATCGGTTGCGGTGTTCTGATAGCGGACGAAAGCATCGCGCCGGCGACCCGTTGATGGTCGTAGAATTTCCCTACAGGGGAAGATGTATTGACAGGCCAGACGCTCTGCTGCCGTCCTAGAGAGCCGTGTAAGCATATGGGAAAATGGGCGAAGTGTTTCGAGCCAGCCGCTCCATGAATTCTTCGCAATCGATAGTTTCTTGAAGCTTTGCTTGCAATCTTATCGGTCAAGATACGCTAGACTGGAAGCGGAAGTTTGATCACTATGACATGTGCCTTAGGCCACAAGAATACCTTGGAGACGTTGGAAGTGTGTTTGTTTGATGGCAGATACCTGATCCTTATCGTTTCAACAAATTATTAAGGTAAATATTGTCTTAAGAGAATACCAAGTCAAGGATAAACAAAGAAAAATATATGAGCGCTATGAGATTATTCCTTTACAGAGACCTCCCAGCTCCGCAGGTCCTCTCGTACATCAAACTCGGATAGTTCATCCACTTCACTGCGGCTTTTCCAGGCCTTGCCATTTGCACTGTCGTAGAGCTGCTCTTTAATGCTGCCGCCTTTCCTGATGTGTCCCGAGGAGGAGTCGGACCCTTTACTTTTGTTGCGGAATTGGCTGGATGAGCTCTTTGGTCGCCTCTCGAAACTCGGGGACAATCTGTTCCCTGATCTGGTTTGCCTTGTATCTGTATCCCTGTCAGGACGAAGTTCGTTATGATGCTCTGCCGATCTTCGAGAGCGAGCATCAGGATCTTCTTCATTCCCGCAAGAACCCGTGGCAAAGAGGTCCTCGATCAACTTATCCGCGGGGATGTCATCCGTGCCAGACATCCACGAAGCAGCCAGAGTGCGGCGGTACATGTCCTGCATATCAGCGACCTCTCTACTCTGCGTGTTGATGGACGGAAGCCGGCCAAGGTCATCATGATCAGCTTGTTCCGAGGAGACCACACCCGCGATGCCTGCGAAAACTGCGGCGGACCTTAGGGGCGGGCTGCTAGCAATCAGTAACAGACAGAGATGAAGATTCGTGGCAAGAAATAAACATACGTGGTGAAATTCCGATCGCCATCAATTTGACGCATCACAATCCCAACCCTGAGCGTGCTGTTGACCTTACTATCCTGCATCAGGTACCTCCTTACGATGCCTTCGTCGTCATCGCTCTTGTCAACATACTCGGCAAGGTTGAGCTTGATTCTTCCTAGAAGATTCCTGTCGCCGTGCCCTCCAGATCCAAACTCTTGTATGATGTCTAGGACGAGTTCGCATTCATGGAGTGTCTGATTTCGATCAATTGTAAGCCTGACCTGCAGGGTTTTCTCGTAGTTCCAGTACGCTCGATGATCGATGATGATCGCTTTGTCCGTATTCCCATGATGCTCGGCCGTACTTGACGATGGCAGACGCCATTTGACGAACGCCGTTCCACTCACAAGTGGCACATTATTCAGATCAATGATCTGAGCGGAGATCTCGGTCAGTAAGAATCTATGATGTGCGAGACTGGTCTGACTTACTCTCAATATAAATTCGAATCTAGGCTAGAGTTGGGTTTCAGCATTGCCCACTCCTCCTAGAAAAAGCACTTACCCTCCTATTCTTCGGAACTACAGGACACGGAATCAGCTTCAAGTTGTACCGACCATGAGGTCATCGGGCGCTGCACAGCACAGCGTTGAGCGAGTGAAGTGATCGCATACCGAAAGCCTGCATAGTGGGCAAGGCTTCAAAGCCAATCAAGAGCGCCCTTCCTTCACCTCCTTCTCATTTGACCAAAATGACGGAATGTGCAATTCTGTCTTCGGATGCCCTTGAACTTCAGTTCCTCATACAGCTGCGCCGGCATCTCCGCAACAGCAATCAGGCGGTCAACCGCCATTCAACCGGCAGAATCCCACCGCTACCGGCCCGCATCGGCAAATGTTCAGCAGCAATACTTCTCTATCAACTATCAATCACATCCAACAACTATACAAGCTCCTCAACCCCCAAATTCCAAAATGAACCAACAGCCTCTCTCACCTCCCGCCGAAGCCGATCCAACCACAACAACAAACCCACCCTCAAACGCACCCGTCCCGCTCGACTCCCCCCTCCGCACAACACCCATCCACCCATCCCTCCCCGATATCCGCGTCCCAGGCTCACCCCTAAAACCACACCAGTACGACCCAGTCACCTGCACCCCCATCGATCCCGAAACCGACTCCATCCGGTCTCAACTTGATCGCCTCCGAGCCGAATACCCGTCCCCCAGCGCGGCGCTGAAAGCGCAGGAGCAAGTGGCCAAGGAAGCGAAGCGGAAGATCGAGGAGGCGGAGAAAAAGCGCGAGGAGGTGCAAAGGGCCATGGATAAGAAGGTTAAGGAGCGGAATACGGAGATGAAGGTGCTATCGAAGTATCAGAAGGTTAGGGGGTTGGATATTCCGTCTTGAGCGGTCGGTTGAGCTGGCTTGGTGTGAGATCGATTTTAGTCTAAGGGACGGATTTGATGACCAAGGAGTGCTCAGCTGGTTGGTGCTTAGTACTTACGCGGCTCCCTTGGGTGACTGCTGGAGAGAGGATACAGTCATCGAGCGTCCCATTGTGGTTCGATATGCCGGATTTTACGGGAATTGGCGGCGCTCACCAACTACATGCGCTGCAATTGGCTTCCACGATGCCAAAACTGTCAGACAGGGCCTACAGGCAGGATACAACTACCTGAGACTTGAAGCGCTTGGGCCTTATGGGCAAATAGAGAGCTTCTCAGCTCGCAGATGCACGGCGCCAAGTCTACGAGAAGTCCCTGTCCTCTTACTAGGATGAGGCCGCAATGTCGAGTCCGATCTTCAGCGGAGCTTTTATGCTAGTGCTTAGATAGTGTCATGGCACAAGCAGAGTCTAGTCTTGACATGAACTCTGGATTTTCTGTGGGCTATGGACGGATTATAAGGACATCAACCGTACCCGACCTGTATGCCTCGGCACATAACTGTCCTCAACGTGAATATCATTAAACGTGAAGCGCGTGATCACTTCTCATATGTATAAAAAAAAAGAAATGAATTCGTGTCCATTAATCATAAGCCCTTATGCGTGGCGGCTCATGTCTCTTACAAAGTGCCCAAGATCTTCACGAGGACGGGGAGCAACTAGGTATACGTTAGTGAAATTGCTTCGTGGTTTCAAGGGTCAAGGAACATACCTCAGATGCATCCTCGATCAGGATCTGTGTCTCATTCACGAATTTCCGGGTGAGAAGATCATTGGCGTTGTTGAGGAGACCGCCGACTTCTGCAAGCAGGTCAGGCGTGATGACCGGGGAGACTTCATCAATCAGGTCTCTTGTCTCGTTGACGAACTTGGGCGTCAGCAACTGGGTGGCATTGCCCAGGACGTAGGTGACGTTGGTGAACAGGGCGGGGGTCAGGGCAGGTCCCACGCTGTCGATCAGGTTCTGAGTTTCCTCGACGAACTTGGTGGTGAGGAGCTTGTTGGCGTTGTTCAGCAGGCCGCCGACTTCGGCCAGAAGCTCGGGAGTGATGACAGGGGCGACCTCGTAGATCAAGTCTTGTGTCTCGTTGACAAACTTGGGTGTGAGTAGGTTGTTGGCATTATTCAGGAGGCCTCCGACTTGTCCCAGCAGCTCGGGTGTGATGACTGGTGAGACATCGCCAATCAGGTTCTTTGTCTCCTTGACAAAGTCGGGTGTCAGCAGATCGTTGGCGTTGCTCAGCAGGCCTTGAATCTCATTCACGCTGTCAGTGGACAACAAGGAGTTGGCGTTATTCAGCAAGCTGCTGATCTCCTTGAAGAGCTGAGGAGTGATGTTTGGTGCCACAGCACCAATCAGGCCCTGGGTTTCATTGACGAAGGTTGGCGTGAGAAGATCGTTGGCGTTGGTCAGCAAGGCACCAACCTCGGCGAGCACGCCGGGTGTCAGCACAGGAGCAATACCGCCGATCAAGCTCTTGGTTTCCTTGACGAAGTCTGGAGTCAACAGGTCGTTGGCGTTGTTCAACAAGCCGCCGACAGACTTGAGCAGTTGAGGAGTGATGTAAGGAGCAACGGCTCCAATCAGGCTGGAAGTCTCCTTGACGAACTCTGGTGTCAACAGGTCGTTGGCATTAGTCATCAGACTGCTGATCTCCTTGAATAGATCCGCCGACAGCAGAGGACCAACAGCATTGATGAGCTGCTTGATCTCCTTGACAAAGTCTGCAGTCAACAGAGTGTTGGCATTAACCAGTAGAGTGCCAATCTGCTTGAATAGCTCGGGTGTCAAAACAGGAGCAACAGCTTCAATGAGGCCGCGAGTCTCCTTGACGAAATCAGCTGTCAACAAGGTGTTGGCGTTGCCAATCAGACCATTGACCTCCTTGACAAAGTCTGCAGTCAGCAGGCTGTTACCGTTGTTCAGCAGAGTTGAAATCTGCTTGAACAGTTCAGGTGTCAACAAAGGACCAACAGCCTCAATAAGGGCGCGGGTCTCCTTGACGAAATCAGCTGTCAACAAAGTGTTGGCGTTACCAATCAAGCCGTTGACTTCCTTGACGAAGTCAGCGGTCAGAAGGTTATTGCCATTGTTCAGCAGGGTCGAAATCTGCTTGAACAGTTGAGGTGTGAGTAGCGGACCGACTGCGCCGATGAGCTCTTGAGTTTCATTCACAAAGCTAGGCGTGAGCAAAGCATTGGCGTTACTCAAGAGACCCAGTACTTCCTTGGTCAGCTCAGGAGTGAGGAGGTTGTATCCAGTATCGATCAAAGACTTGGTCTGGTCGGTGGTTTTATCATCGAACAGGTATGCGAAGTGATGGAAGAAGGATTCGATATCCTTCAGCAAGGTGGGAGACAGGAGGCCCGAAATGCCTTGTAACATATTCTGCAGATCTTGAAAGATGTTTCCAGAAAACCCGTCCGATGCACCCCCAGACGAAGACGAGCTTGAAGCGGTACTAGCGGCAGCGGTTGTCGCAGCTGCACGTGTGGCAGTCTCAGAGTTAGAGGAGCTCTCCGCAGAGGCAGTAGTTGGAACGGCCGTAGAGACACTTTGGGTTTGCTCACCAGCAGTGTGCGTTGGAACCAGGTTGGTCAGGATATTCAGCGGGTTGCCGTCCTTCTGACTGGCAGTCTGGCTGGCCGGCGATTCGGCATTCTCAGTGGTCTGAGGGCTGGCACTGGTTGCGGGTGCTGCTGCTGCTTGGGTGTTGACGCTGGCGCTCTGCTCCTGGTTGGCAGCGTTGGCATTCTGCTGGTTGGTGCTTGCACTTTGTTGCGCAACAGGAGTGGCCTCTGCTACGGCTGTTGTCTGCGCTACCGGCTGTTCCTCTGCTACACTCCCTTGTGTTGAAGCACCGACTGGTGAGGATACCTGCGCTGGAGTTGCGAGCGCTGTGCTGGACAGCAAAAGAGCTGAGAGAACTGTTGAGAAACGCATGCTGGGTCAACGCTCTTCACAGGGGAATGGCCAGCAATCGACGTCTGGGAGAGAGGTAGAGCCGAGATCTCCCAAGACTGCACTGGCTCCTTTTATGCCTGGAGCTGCGCGGAAAAGATCTGCTACCACTAACCACTCTCTCCGCAAGGTCCAGCTACTGCTGGGGAAAAAAGAAAAAGACCGAGGGCTATTGCCTCATCTCCACATGTGAACTAACTCATGTTGGGGTTTCCTCCTTCCATTGACCAGACTACTGATGTCAGCGGTAGGGGCGATTTTCGGTCGTGCCAACGGAGGTGATACCCTTTTCGAGCGCACTGGGAGAGCATGGCTTGCCGATCATTGGTGTGTGTCATTTGTTTTCTTCCATCTTTTGAGCCGTAGATGGTAGGATACTGTGGAGTACGGTGGATAGCTCCTGTAAAACTATGTTAGTACAGCGCCGCCGTAGCAGCAGGGGGTGGTCACTGTAGCGGACCTAGAGGTGCTGAGCTGGAGCCCAAGCTATGCGTAGTCGGAGTGAGCCGTGCACCCCGGACCGCGATGCTGGACTAATTGGTCTTTTAGGGGCTCTTAGCCCTGCGGGGGAGCAAATTAGAAGCATGGGAAATTGCGAGTGGCACTTTAGCCTCGTCTTAGTCCGAGATGGGATCGCTTGAGCAGCTGGGGTCTCGCTTTCGGGCCTCATCTACCTCGGTGATCGGCATGGACAATAAACTCTTTGAGTAAAGCGAGGACAGTCATTGCCCTGCTTTGTGGTTTACGGAGGAGTAGTAGATAGGGTGCTTGAGCGCTTGAGCTCAATTGAGTTGCAGAGGAGAATTTCGAATGAGCGGCGCCCACACATTGAACAGACGAACTGCTGTAGTCCCTGGCTAGAAGAACAGTACCTACCTATGCTTGCAGGAGGTAGATAAGTAAGGAACGTGACCAGACACGCACTGTAGGCACTAGTCTGTGTTAGTGGGAGTTCGACTTTGATCGCACCATGGATAGTCGCATTTGAACTCAATTTGGCAGTATCCTTTGTCTTAAACAAGTGAGCCAGCGAGGAACTGATATTTCTCATATTATCATAGTAGTTCTCATCTTGCGGGGAACGGAACACGCCCATGGGGATTCATCGTCGGAAAGACTCGTAGACTCGTACGTAGCCCCGTGGATCACTCTGGGAAGTCTGGAGACCCTCTCGTGCTCCAACTCAAGTGTGGGGTTCATTCGGCCGTTGTAGGAAGGGAGGTAGCTTATCATGAAGAGAGCCCTCCAACTGCAAGCATGCAATGTTAGGTACGAGTAAAACCAATGTGGAAGCAGGGGGAAGACAGCTCCAGGTGTATCTCGGTAACATGTGATTCGATGACATGACGGAAGAAGTCAAAATCTATCTGTCTGTTGGGATTGAGAAAAAGCATTCAAAATTCAACTCTCAATACGGAGTAATGAGTGGAAGTTCCCACTGTGACCTGGACTAGTGCCACGATCGACACTACTCATGACCGTCGAGCGGGGTTCTTGTTTTTCCTTGTTCTCGTTCGTGTTGAACGGCAAGAAAAATCTTGTTTCTACGCCTCTTTTTTCGAGTCTCGGCTGGATTAGCCATTGTTATCATATTGCTCACTCGAAATGGAAGGAAAAAACATCGGGGAATATGAGGCCAATGATGGATGGGTTCTGGAGTCTCGACTCTCCCACTCTTCAGGTAAGGAGGGCATTTCCCCTGGCCCAAAAGCACATCCTCTACGGAGTACTCCGTACATATCCCAGGTCTTCCAGGAACAAAGCAGAACAGAGACCTCGATGGAGGACGGTCCTTCTTCACAATTTCATGTGATATGACACGATTATATTGAGTGTCTTCTATATTACAGTTCATACCCAGTACACCCTCGTCAGTGACCATTCCATCGGAAAAGCTCAAAAAACGCCTCTCCAATGGAAGCAATGGGAATAAAGTGCTCGGAGGCCAAGGTTATGTCATTTAATATATGGGATCTACCAAAATCACCAAAGTCTCCGTAGTTGGACTAATTGTGATTAAAGCGAGACAAACAGAAATAGTCTCCAGGCCCAAGGGTAAGTCCCTGCAAGGTCACTTGATTCTTGGATATCTCGAAGCGATACTACTCTCTATCTAGACTGCAAAGCCCAAAAGGTTCTCCCCGCTGAGTCCCTACATTAGGTTCTCTCGTCACACGTCACTGGCGTACTCTGGTCGAAGAAGAGAGTACTATGTACTACAGTAATTCGACATTCCGTCATTCTCTTCATGCTCGCTTTGATCAATCACATAATTTACCCCAGAGTCTGAACCGTTTTCCCCATGTCAACAGACTCCAGTAGCGGGAAAACTACTCAGAAAGGCCCGGAGGGTCTACCAATAACCACAAATGTGGTCAAGGATCACTTTCAGTCTGGATGGACTCATGTACCTTTCAAATAACTCTAACTTCAGGAACGACTTGTAAATGCTCCACATCTAAACTTGTGCTATTCTACATTCGGCCACCACTGCGAAGAGGCAAAAGTCTGCGCTCGAGACCAGTGCCTCAGTAGATGTCTAGATCTCCAACGACAAACATGAGGGTTTCCTCTCCACGACGATTCAATAATTGTTGGTGATATCTGAGTCTTATGAAGTCTTGGATGTTGTTGCAGTCTTGCCATCGGCGAGCCCCTGATGCGGATCATTTGATGAGAAACACTCGCGGACAACTGGTCTCGCATTGTTGTGGTCTCGAAGTTGAGCAATCTCCACACTTGAATATCAGTGTTTCAGTCTATACTCAGTCTGCGAGCATAAGATCTTTTCTCACAGATCAGACTCGAGCTCAATGATCAATGAATGTGCTTAGGAGTTCATATGAGCAGTTCACTGTGGTTTTAACTTAGCCCGTGATCGAGCACCAGAATGATCATGCTTGTTGGGAAAGTTCAATATGGATAATCAGCATTGATCAACCATTGAGTGCTTGCCCTCACAAACATGCTATTATCGACTCAAATAATGCTCCAGGTGACGATCTATGAAGTGAGGAGCCAATTGACCGAGCTCGATTACCCCAGATCAACTGGCATTTCCTGCGATCAAGCGCACCTCCCGCAGTCCTTCACAAACAAGCTATTTTCTGCTTAGTTAGAGGCCTTCGATTGATTCAGTGCAGATTCAATGCAATATGGAGCTTCTCAAGGCTGGAACTACAGTTTCAAAGAGGCTGAACAAGCACTCATGGGAATCTGGTGCTACATGGCGTGTTTTCCAACGAACACCAAGGGTTTTTCAATGAACACCATGGGGTTCTCAAAGACCTACGTCCCCAAAATAAAGGGTTGAGACTGGATTCGACTTTCTGTTGGGTATACCCTCTTGATGCTTTTCGATTCGACTAAGATTATGTTGATGACATACCGACAGCGACGATTTTGCAGACATCAACCTAGAGTCTCAATGATTTGAGAAATATGCTGACTCCCGGTCCTTTGAATTCTGAGTGGCTCATCGTTTTAGTGCCTTGTTCTCGCGCGAAGACCATCTATAACAAGCTTTTCCCGCCATGCAAGTTTTGAAAGCCGCTGTGGGCTCATGATCACAGGCAACGTCAAGCATGTCTTGAGAAACTGTGAGTTAAAGATAGACCGTTCAAGGGTAGTACTAGTCCATCCGAGAAACTATCTGAATTACCTGCCACACTGGACTCCTACAGTACTAACATACAAGGCTTCCACTTGAAAGAACTGTCCAGCCATATTGATTCATTCATGCAGGGGATTTTCAAGGGACTGGGGCAATTATACCGCACATTGACTACAACCGCGACTTCTTGCAAAATTGAATCGGCTTCCTTCCTACTGAACCTACGCAAATCCGTTTACAGGCTGGATGCATTTCATCCTGTTGCATGCTCTAGTCACTCTGCCAGCTGGAAGGCTTGTCTAGTCAACGAAGTGTACTGGCCAGGCTCTATGGCACTCTTCCATCCGCATTTCAAGATATGCAAGGACAGCCGACTGTATCTGCAGAGGTCAGAGCCGCTTCAAGCACTTCGTCAAGATCATTGAATACTCAAGCCAAGAAAATATTTATGTAAAGATTGATGCTACAGACCAATCTTCCATTATAGTCTTTCGAGCGGCTTGATGACCCAGATGATACTCATTCTCTCGGTTCGCTTAATATCTGATTCAATAACCCGTATCTATCAAGACGCCGCTGTTGACCACCGTCTTCAAGAATTGGGAGTTGAGATGGCTTGATCCAGAACTTTCCCGTCCGTTCGCAAGTACGGTGCAAGGCACCTTTCAAATTTGAGCTTACCCATAGGTGAAATGAAAGGAGGGCCAATACAACCCTTCACGGTCTCAGGGCAGTTCGGAATGGTAGTATGTTGGAATGTATAGAGGTGCAAGTCATACCCATCCGTGGTCCAGGACAGGTCAGCAAAGTGATTTCGTCCTGTTGTATACACCAGGACTACATCATCAATCTCCAATGGTGTCGATTTTCGCTACCAGACCGCGATGTATTCCTCTTCCCCAAACGCGCACGCAGCACAATAGCCGTGCTATGACTGCTAGATATCAGCATGAAACATTATTGCCGTAGAATCACGTACTCATTCTGTCCGAAGGATGACTGGTATGTCCATGAAAACCTAGGACCGTAAGAAAGGCCCCAGAGTGCCAATGACTTGGCTTGTTAGGTTGAGTAAATAGGAAACGACATTTTCTTCAGTCATGTTTGCTAGTGAAATAGTTTTCCTGTCGTCTCGTCAACTCAGCAGAGCCATGAGAGCTGCAGTACATGGAAAACGTCTCAGGGCGATGTAGCCCCAGATACTTGTGTATCAGCCTGAGTAAGGTATGCTCTTCCCGTAGTTGAATTCCCAGACGTGTGGAGTAGCGGCCCACCTGACACATCAACGCAGACCGTCATTTGGTTCTGATTTTGTGATTGCAATGGGACGTCACAATCCGTCTTGTACGAGGTTGAGCCCACGTCCACA